TTATGTACCATATAACCCAAGGCCAACCCAACTGTATTTAAAAAAAACATAGACTTTAGGCTCCAAATTTTTAAAAGATCCCGTAATTTTAGATACATAAGTAGTCTACATAAAAAATTTAAATCCATGAAAATTTTAGGCATTACAAAAAGGCCCAAAAAAATTTAAGCCCAATCAAAAAAATATAATTTTAATAATTTGGGCCTATAATTTAATTCATAACATTAAAAACTCAAAAATCAAAAAATTTAAAAAAAAAAAAAATATATTCAAAAGTCAACTCATATATACTCACATCCATTCTCTCTTCTCTCTCTCTCTCTCTCTCTCTCTCTCTCTCTCTCTCTATCTATCTCTTAAAAGGCAAAAAACAAAGTATCACATCTTCTTCTCTCACTTAAAAAAATTAAAAATATTTTTTATTTTTTTAAAATAATACTAAAAATAAAAATGTCTCATTTAATATTATCTTTTAGACCTCAAATTACTTTGAGTTGCTCCTGATATAACAACATTATTGATATTTTTAGCAAGTGAAACTAAATAGTAAACCAACAATGTAGAGTTATACGACTACTGAGTCCTTGTGTTTCGCATAATTTCTTAAAATAAAAATTCATTTTTTAAAATGAACTTTTAAGATACACTTTACAAGATGAACTTTCAATGACTAATAGATGTTTGAATAATAAATACTTCTGAATTGATAAGTGCATTTATATATAAAAGTATGTTTAATGGTAATAGTTTTAAAAGTACAAAATATCATCTACTTATATGTTATTTAACATTCAAGATAAACTACCTCAACATATTGAACTAATTAAAAAATTCCTTTAATAATATCATACAAAAGTTACTTAAAATCCAAATTAGGTGGTACAATATTTTTTGAAGGTGAGTTATTGACATCATTAAAAAAAAAACTACTCAAAAATAACAAGAAATCAAATAATGCATGGGTTCTAGTATAATACAAAGGAAAATGTTATGTAACTCAAATTTGCAATCCAAATTTTTCATCCTAAATAAAATGGGACTATTGGATGAGTGAGTCACATCAATTTTTTTAAATAGGATCCACTGATCCAATGGTCTGCTTCATTTGTGATACAAATTTGGGTTGCATATTTGAATTACATAGCATTGCTCTAATACAATAATGTTAAGTATTTGTACCTAAGTTAACTAGGAGTAATCTGTGTCTAAAAGTACGATATAATTTGAATTGTTTGAAAGAGATATTGGTAACTATTTGATAAGTTTATTTAAGACCGTTAAATGAATTTATTAAAACCTACCATGTTATATATTAGAGATTTCATTAGAAACTAGCCATGTGTGCAAGTGAATGCACTGTCGAAGAGCAACTCCAAAGGGAGTTGCCATTTTGGGGTGCCAAATCACTCATATGAAATCTTGAACAGTGTTTTGGTATTTCTAAATTATAAATCTACTCTAATGACAAGTGTCAAAATAGGATGTCACTTTAATATTTTAATATTTTTAATTAAAATTAACGATTATATTTTAACGAGTATAATTTTCATAACGATCGCAATTTAACAGATATATTTTTATAGTAAAAATTTTAAATTTCAAATTTTGTGCGCCGAAATTCAAATTTCAAAATTCAACCGTTGAAATTCAAATTTGAAAATTTAATTGTCAAAATAAAAATTCAAAAAAGTATAATGCATCTATAAATATGATCATTTTTCTCATATTTTCGTCCATTTATATTACTTTCTCTCCATAAACTCAATATCTCTTTTCTCTTTAACTATTTATCCTTTCATATTTTCATTCATCAATCTATATGAATCGTTATCTTAATATTTTAGGAGAGATCCTCATTATTGAGGAAAAAGAATAATGATGAATTTGATATGTTGTATGCTGCAACCAGAAGGTCAGAAGGGTCTAGTCAGGGACGAATAAGAAAGCATCGTGGTTCCATTCCAGGCCACAGAATAATTAATCGTGGTAGAGTTGAAGGTCACAAAAAACTCTACCGTGACTATTTTGCTACCCCCTTGTATATATGAAGGTTTTTTTCGAAGGAGGTTCCAAATGAGTCGTCCTCTTTTTCTATGAATTGTAAATGAGGTTGAACAACATGATCCATACTGTCCAAACAACAGATGTCGTTGGAATTCTCAGTTTGTCATCCCTTCATAAGATAACAACTGCTTATAGAATTCTTGCTTATGAAACACCGCCAGATTCTGTGGATGAATACATCAAAATTGAAGAAAACATTGTCATACAGAGTCTGAGAAGGTTTGTGAAAGAAGTTATTACAGTGTTTGACGATCATTACCTAAGGTCACCAAACAATAGCGATATTGCTCGATTGTTGCAGACGGAGGAACAACGTGGCTTTCCTGACATGTTTGAGAGTATTGATTACATGAATTGGAAGTGAAAAAATTGTTTGACCGCATGACAAAGTATGTATACTGGTCATTGTCACAAACCAACAATCATTTTGGAAGCTGTAGCTTCTCAAAATCTTTGGATATGACATGCATTCTTTGGGCTTCCTGGTTCGTTAAATGACATAAATGTTCTAGATAGGTCTTTTGTTTTTGCATTATTAGCAAATGGTTATACTCCTCCAGTAAACTATATAATTAATGGCCGTGAGTATACAATGGAATATAATCTAGCTGATGGTATTTATCCAAACTAATCGACATTTGTAAAAACAATTCCCTATCCACAAGGTTTGAAAAAAAAATATTTTGCTAAAGCACAAGAGTGAGCAAGAAAAGATGTAGAGCGGCATTTGGGGTACTTCAAGCCCATTTTGCAATCATGTCTGGACCATCACGTTTTTGGGATGAAAAAACTACAGATATTATGAAAGCGTGATTTTCAGGCATTGACAACGACAAGCAATTTTCAGGCAACAACAACGACAAACGATTCTCAGAATGCCTCCTACCCCTTCCCTCTGTGATTTTCAGAACGCCTCTGCGCCTTTTTCTAACGATTAAAGAAAAATCAAGAGTAGGGAACTTTGGTAAGTTTTCTTTTCAAAATCTCTATATTTATAGAAATTTTTTGTTAAATAGAGCCATTGAGATTGAACAGTAGAATTTGCAACCTCTCCCTTTCTGGTCATTGTCACAAACCAACAATCATTTTGAAAGCTGTAGCTTCTCAAAATCTTTGGATATGACATGCATTCTTTGGGCTTCCTGGTTCGTTGAATGACATAAATGTTCTAGATAGGTCCTTTGTTTTTGCATTATTAGCAAATGGTTATGCTCCTCCAGTAAACTATATAATTAATGGTCGTGAGTATACAATAAAATATAATCTAGTTAATGGTATTTATCCAAACTAATCGACATTTGTAAAAACAATTCCCTATCCACAAGGTTTGAAAAAAAAATATTTTGCTAAAGCACAAGAGTGAGCAAGAAAAGATGTAGAGCGGCATTTGGGGTACTTCAAGCCCATTTTGCAATCATGTCTGGACCATCACGTTTTTGGGATGAAAAAACTACAGATATTAGGAAAGCGTGATTTTCAGGCAACGACAACGGCAAGCAATTTTCAGGCAACAACAACGACAAACGATTCTCAGAATGCCTCCTACCCCTTCCCTCTGTGATTTCCAGAACGCCTCTGCGCATTTTTCTAACGATTAAAGAAAAATCAAGAGTAGGGAACTTTGGTAAGTTTTCTTTTCAAAATCTCTATATTTATAGAAATTTTTTGTTAAATAGAGCCGTTGAGATTGAACAGTAGAATTTGCAACCTCTCCCTTTCTCTCTCCAGAGTTGCTAAAATTGTCACCTCAAGACTATTGATGCCATTTTTTAACCCCTTATGTCACCTCCATTGGAGTCCAAATTTTTGAATTTAAGGTGGTATTTTGCCAGTTATGAAATTACTACCCCTGATACCATGCCCCTTGAAGTTGCTCTAACTAAAGAGGTGATTAGCTCTGAATTGATCAAAGCATACCTTCACTCAATTTTGAAGTAAATCTCTTCGTTTTTCCTTCTATTTGCATATATATATATATATATATATATATATATATATATATATATATATGTATTTGTAGAGTAGTGCGATTATGGAGACTTGGCACCCTAGTTTTTAGTGGGTATTTTTTATGTAGATCGTTAGATCATGATCTAAAGGTCACAAGACAAAGATGCTCAAAATTAATTAGAAGACCTACCAAATTTAGTTCTTCACTAAATATGAAATATCTATGACATATTTATTGTGATCTAGTCCTATTAGGAATGTCTTAAAAGTTAATAATAATAAAAAAAAAATTGACTCCTCTTAAATATTTACGAATTGACCCGATGACCCAGATGAATTTTATTTTTATCCATCTAATTTATTATACCCATTTGGGTTAAAAAAACTATGGCTATCTCCTAGCAAGGCGCAAAAGTTTGTAACAGACTAGCAGTGCAGTGTTTCTGCTACATTAGTTAAGGTAATTTCTTACATCATGATTCAACCCTTGCTACATGCATGCCCACAGGACTTTAAATTTTTTGAATAGTTTAATTAATCAATTGGTCAGTTGATTGGTTATTTGGTAATTTGATCAAAGAATTATAAATATCTATAACCCGTTATATATAAAAACGGTAACCTTATTTCCCGTTTTGTAACGTTTATATTTTTTGTTTTTCATTTTTATTTTGATATTTAGAGAAAATAAAAAAAAAAAACTCAGTTTGATAATTGTTTTTATTTTTTTTTTCTATCATCGTTTTGTAAACGAGGAGCGATTTTCAAAACAAGAAAAAGATGTTTTTATTTTTTGATTTTGTTTTTCGTTTTTTAGAAAATGAAAAACCATAAACATTACCAAACAAGTTATTAATAGTTTGATTGTAAAAATTTTAAAAGTGTGAGAAAGAGTATTTGTGGGACGACAATAGCTCTACCCAATTTCTTTTTCCACGGCCCCGAATCGTCTCTCTCCCTATCTTTTTCCATGGCCGATGAATCCTCCACGTCTATCCAAACAACTGGCTCTCACACTCATCTTAAGTTTCCCGCAATACCCATTTTCACACTATCATGGAGAACACCTAAATCCTACTGTCGACATTCTCGACACCACCTAAATCCTACTGTCGACATTCTCGACACCAAGGGATGAGTCTTTGTCCATCGATTTTCTCAAGATTGAAGGCAGTGTCAGCAATGGAGGCGTCAGATTTAGAAGCTGTGTCAATGGCACCGGTAAAGTGCTGGAGTTGCAGAATCTACTCAGCTCATACTGGAGATGAAGAAGTTCCATCTCCTTCTTCTTTCCAATGTACATGTCGTGCTTGTAAATAAGACATAAAGAGAGATGTTGCAACCATCAGAGGAGGAAAAAGATGTCAAAAAGAGACGTTAAAGTTGTTCAGCCGAGATTTGACAACCTGATTAGAGTTACTCTTATCAAACAAATTTGGCTTTTTCAAATGGCCTTTTAGGACTGAAAATTCATTTAGAGGCGCTTCCAAGCGCAACGTTAATTTGTGTTGGACAATAGAACAATTAGTCATCTTCATCAACAAACAGCACATATAAATGTAGACTGTAATTCAAATTAAAAAGCCACATTACCTAACTGGAAGAATGTACCATTTCCTTAAAGTCAGGAATGAACAGGCTTTGAAGTATATGCAACATCAATAGACTTCAACATGCCATTGTTTGTTCTTTTTGAGTTGTGAGAGCTTTTCTTCCCAGTTCTCTCCTCTCTGCTCTGCAACCCTCTTTAGTGTATCTTGGATCCCGGGCATCATTCCCTTGAGACCACAGAAGTAAATATGGGCCCCATTATCCAAGAGTTTGAAGACCTCATCACTGTATTCTTCAATTTTATCCTGCACGTACATCTTGCCTCCACTCTGGTTCTTTTGTTCTCGGCTAAGAGCGCGGTCATATCGGAAGTTATCTGGGTATTCTTGGAGATACTTGGTGAACTCATCATCATATAGGAGACTGTCGGTGTTGGCCACCCCAAGGAAGAGCCAAGCGAGACCACCAAACTTGAATGTAGGAACATTTTCCATGAACATACGTCGAAGGTAGCCTCTGAAAGGTGCCACACCAGTACCAGTAGCAATCATTATGTGGGTGGCGTTTGGATCATCTTCAGGCAAAAGCATTATTTTGCCCGAAGGACCTGCCAAAATAGTCCCAAATTAACAACATCGAGAAAAGGACACTGAACCTTCATCCCAAGAATAAAACTAAACTAAAGAAACCAAGCCAAATAGATCATCCCAACTATGCTTGCAAAGAAAAATAGAACAGTTATCTAATTAGGTCGCTTAGGCCAACTTATTTTGAGACCCAAACCAACCAGTGATATGAAAACGAGAGAGGATGGACATATGAAGCAACATACGTGATTCAGTTGGTACCAGTTCACAGAGAGAAATGATCGACAGACAAGTCAGCAATGCTAAGATTTTTTTTTTTTTTTTTAAAAAATGCTAAGATTAACCACAAGTCTCTAACCAAGAAAAAAACCACAGAAATTGTATAAGAACTATGTACTTCATATTTGGTTTTCTGTTTTAACTCCTCTTCAATAGTTTCTTCATTTCTTTTGAGAGTAATCACCCACCCTGTGTTGCACACGGATTCAAAAACCCATTTGTAAATACAGTTCAGTCCACTTGATCTGCCAGTGGCATCATTTAAGTAGCATATGCCTCACCCACACACCGACTCCACACTATACATAGGCATACAAGGACTGACCGACTGAGCAAGCTTTCTTCAAACCTAAAGCAACCCTAACAAAAAACAATACAAAAAATACACTGCTAACCCATCTTCCGTTTCTTGAAGAAAACACTAATAAAATATGTATGATATCTCTATTTTGCATCCTTCCAATTCAAAAGAGTTACCACCTCCAACACTCATGAAACAACCAGAAGGGGGAATATAATAATTCAGAACACTTCCTCTTGCATGCCAAGCTACCCAAATTATGGATTCACTGTGCAATTCTGTATTGGTTGAGTTGTTAATAAGGTGCTTCTACAGTGGTGAACCCAAACTGATGGTTATTGTCATCATCACTGAATCAGTCTTTCAAATAACATGCATGGCACAGTAATTTAACTGATTCCAACAAGTTGATACATGTGATTTCCAGGACTCAGAGACCAGTATAACCTGGCACAGTATAGTTTTTATTAATGGGGCTTGTCTCAGATGCAAGACACAATACTTCAACAAGTTCTAGTAAATTTATAATTATTAGGAAGAGGGACTCCAGTAATAGGATATTTAAATTCGGTTTCACAACAAGGAAGGTTCTTACCTGTGATCTGTATCTTGTCCCCAGGCTTCGAATCACATAGGAAATTGCTGCATACTCCTTTCTTTGAAGGATCTTCTTCCCCTGTCTCGGGATCATAGTAGACAGCACGCCGAACGCACAAACTGGCTGTCTTGCCATCAAAAAAGTCTCCATACCTGGTAGATGCAATTGAGTAAAGACGAACATTGTTGGGAGTTCCTGGTTTCTTTGGGTTCTCACCCTGGAATTCAAGAAAACAAGAACTAAGAAACTCAGGGCCAAGGCTAACTACTGTTCTATCACTATATCATGCCCAGAACAAAGGCAATTACATATTACTCAGAAACATGGTACTGAGACCCACCATTGGATAGGAACTCAAATAAAGATAGATTTAAAATAGCCTGATTCTAGTAATTCAGACCATCACCTATTTTCCCAGCACAGATGGCCAACAAGAAACTCAAAATATCGAAGGCTTCATATAGAGAGTTTCATCATACTAGCAATTTGAATTTAACAATTCTGATTAGTCAACAAATAATGTGAATCTAATAATTCTGATTAGTCAAAGTCAGCTACACAGCATGCAGAAAATACAACCAAAACTACGTGCTACTCAAAGGCATGGGTTGAGACCAACATATTAGATGAGACTTCAAAATTGAGGTATCCAGAAATTTTAAGTATCAAACTTTGCCAGCTACCCATGGTTGAAACATTTGAAACGTTTCCGTTTCTAAGGAGACCGAAATGAATCAATGATGGAATCAAAATTCTAATACTTCTAGGTGTTCCATAATGTTTCAAAATGTTTTGTTATATAACAATTCATTTGCACAATTATTTCGAATTGTTTCAAGATATTTTGGTATATTTCGATCAATATTTTTAAAAAATAATTTTAAAATTTTTTATTTTTTTATTCTGTTTTCAAATAGGACAAAAATTTTCCGAAATACGTCGAAACATTTCCATGTCCCAGGTGACAGAAACAGTACACCGAAACAAAATTTTGATCCTTGCTCCTAATAAAGATCCAGTGGCAAGCTAGTAGGAAGGGAAGTTGAGAAATTGTTTTCCATGTATGATGTAGGAATGTAGCTCATCATTTGTACTAATCTGAAAAGCATAAGAAGTCCTTGGTGATTTCTGAAATCATAGGTAATGAAGATAAAGCCTAAAACATAGAACTTCAATCTTACAGGAGGAATTACGCCGTAACTTTGACCTTCCCAATAAGGAACATTGCCACCATGATCAATCACAATATGACAAGTTTCTCCTGGAGCTTTTGGGCCAACAAGCCTATCGACAGAGAGAATGGTTGCTGTGTAGGGTCCCTTCGGCTTGTACAAGTTCAACGGAGGCTCTTCTACATCCTCAAGTACTAAAGGTGAAACTGCAACCTTAGGTTTGCTGGCTTGTTGAACTGACATGTACACCATCGACTGATTTTTTGAGTGTGACTTCTTGGTTTTCAAGTCGGAAGGTAAGATAGATACCCATGATTTATCTCGATAGCTTATGCTATTGGTCTGCAACAAAATGAAATAGAATTGCCTAGAAAATAAATTTACCATAAACTCCCAGTACAGTTAAAAATTAAAATGTTCTTACAGTGGAATATATGGACGGTGCAGCATTATAAATGAGAACAACCAAATGCAATAAAAAGTTTACTCAATAGAACAGCATTAAACAAGGTGGGTGAGAGAATGGTTGACAAGCATCAATTTAAACATTATCTATCGAATTAACATGAAATTTACACTGTGATCCATAAACTTCTTTCTGGAAACTACTTAAACTTTTATCAACTAAGTAAATTTCTTAAAATAAAAATGCAGTGTCAAATGCAAATTTCAAATGATTGACTTTGCTTGACAATACCCATTGAACATTCATAAAACAACTTTGACAAAGACAATAAACATTTTCCAACAAGAAGACAAGAACCATGACCTTGTTTCAGTGGTGACCTTTGGTGATTGAAAAACAGTATAACGAATGCACGATAATCTATGATTAGTACTTATGTTGAAAGAGAGAGGAAGGCTTCATCCCTTATATATCATTAAATAACATCTTTTATCAAAATGTAAGAAGCATGGAGATAGATACCAGATACGTAATCAACCATTTTTCTTGCACATGAACACCCCTATTATTTTAGGGAATACTTATTCTATTAACTTCAATTACTTATTTCAATGGCCCACTTCAAAAAAAAAAAATCATAAATCCTGACATATCCGTGTATCATCCACATATATATTTTTTTTTGGAAAGCTATCATCCACGTATTGATCACATATCCTTGATATATTCCAATTGTATATATAATTAAAATATATTTTTTAAACATCAGAGATGCGTCTCTCGTATTGGCTACATACTTGGCCATATCCAAAGCTTATTTGTATCCAATACGTATTGGATATGGTTAAGGATACTCCAGTTCGTGCTTCACAGATCAAAATGAGTAGAGGGACAAAATGGGAAATTGACCATTTAATTCTAACAAATCAACATAAGTTGGGCCATTTCAAACAGTTTGAAAACCTCTCCCTTCTCCATATCACTACTCAGAAAGTCTTTTTTCAATCAGCTAGTTGGGTAGAGAGTCGCACGCATCATCTGTCCACTTCTCCTGATAGAAAATGCAACACGACACATACCCATTTTCTTTTTCTTTTTTTGTGTGGGCTTGTGACACAACAATGTTAAAAAAATAAATCTACAAAATAGTCAGTACCAAACAATGAGAATCAGTATTAAAGATCACAGTCAGAAGCAGTAAAACTGACGACAAGTGAATATAGATGGACCAAAAACAAAAACAAAAAATTTCAGATTAAAAAGACAGCTATAGAGAGAGATAAATAATGTGTGTGTGTGTGTGTGTATCAAATGGAGGATAAAAATCTAGGATTTGCTATTTTGGCTGGCTTGATCACACACAGAAGTGAGGCGAGAGCAGTCTGTGGTATTGTGTATCAAGACATGCACCCACTGCACAAAGGAACACATTAACTCGAAACAAGGAGAACTTATTAAGCACTCTGCAAATTTTGATGAAAGATAACATAAGAACATTGTAAACGGAAGTTGATGAAATAATTCAAGGAGTGCTTGAAGAAACTGGATAGTATCCAGCACGAAGTACAGAATCTCAAGAGCGATGAGTGAATGGCAAGAAACAACTGTTGGATAATGAGAGCATGCAAATGGACAGAGTCCAACTCAGAAAAATGTAATTGATCCTGGTTGTGATAGAACAGTTGAAAAGAGAATAGAAATGAGGCATTAGCCAGACTAAGATAGAAGACAGACGATATACTATTATTTAGCAGCATGCAGAGAAGCTCTTTCTTCAAAAGAACAAACCTTTTGAACAGTTGGATAGAAAACATTTTTCCAAGGTTTGCATGGGCCAGAATAGAATGTTGCTGCTGCTATTCCACAACAAGCCGAAGATAGAAATATATTGCCCAAGGCAAAACCAAGACGGAAGGCTATGTGACTTGTGGCATGAGACATGTGCATCAAAAAAAGAAGGGTTGAAAAAGAACTGTGCTTCGACATATAGAGAACTGGAAGCTTAATGCAAGGAGGATGAGTAGCAATTTTACAATAAAAGATACGACATAGAGCAAAAAGTCATAAATTCCAACCATCTGCGGATATAACAATTCTACAGCTTATGATTGATATTTCCAATAAGGTAAACATGCACATGGGGCACATTTTGTTGTTTTTCTAGATAGGAAGAAATTTGAAGGAATCACATTTATCAAGGAATGAAAGAACCCTGAGTAAACAAAAAATTAACAGCAAGGACCGAACAAAAGGTGCTCAAGCCTTGCAGAACAACATGATGAAAACAAGCAACAGCAAGGACAACAAGACACTGAACAAAATCAGGGATTTATTCAAATAGATACAGCTATCTTTAATATTCACACTTTTGAACTTATGATCCTCTCCCGGTAACTGCCAGAAAGTGAACTTAATCTGCTTACATGGATATGGCAATAACTCAATTGTCAAAAAGGAAACGATGATAACTGTGAATATGTCAGTACTTATCCACTGAAACTTTTCTTGGAGATTTTACAGCTTAGGATTGAAGAAAATAAGAAGCATGAAGTCGAAGTAGTCAAAATAGGGTTGACCAGGGCCAGAAAAATGTTCTCGAGTGGACCCTCTAACAAGTTTTATCCTAATTGATAAGAGTAAAATGATACATTTATACTGAAAAACTCTATACATATAAGTGCAAAATAGAAAAGAGACTAATTATAGTCTTTTAATGAAAATGACACTAATTGTAACTAGTTAAAATTGACCCGAGAAGCTTTTATATTTTGATAGCGTTGTATGATGAATCCATTATTTCAATGTCAAAATTACAAATATGTAATTTTAAAATATTCATAGCTAAAAGATATATCACTTATTTGCTTGTCTTAAAATTGTAAGATCACATATTCTTGATAGGTTTTAAATTCAATGCCAAAGTGCACATCAAATAGTAAAATGACCAAGTGTTCTAGAATTGTCGCCGATTATCTGGACCTCAAATAAAGACAACTCACATCTCACCAATAGGTAGTATAATTGCTAGAGGACCGCATAATCATTAGAGGACGTATAATCATTGATTACATCTTCTTCTCTCTTTGTTTATTTCTCTGTCTCAATTGGTCACTCGTTTTGGTTTGATAAAGATGTTCTCACTAGACAAGAATATTCATATTTGAGTTTTTTTTTTAACTCTAAACAGTTTTATAGTTTTAAGTCATGACCTTAATTTCTTATATACTTACAAAATGATCCTATATTTTTATTACATAATGCCCGCAGTTTTTATTTAGTACAAAATATTTTCATAATTTATTTAAAATTTTTTTGAAATGACCTCAATATGTCCAAACTTATCCAAATATGTTTGAAGTGTGTCCATATACCAATTGATATGATAAGAAAAATATAGGGTGGGCCTAAATAGATATACTTCAAAAATATAATAGGAAATGGCAAGGCAAAAAATTTGAGGGTGGGCTGGTCCTTGAGTGGCTCCGCCACTGGGGATGAATTCATAACACTTTTTTCAATGAATTTAAGCCTTCAGAGATTTCTGTCGCTATTTAAATTTTTTTGAAGGCACAAAAAATGAAAGTAATGCAATATGTATATTTGGTGGTGCATTCGCTGAAATGGTTTGCAATTTAAAAAAATTTTGGAGATAGTTTCTAATAATTAAAAAACCTAAGTTCATTAAAGAAGGAACACTCCAAAACAAATACATTTTAAAAACTTTAATGGTTGCATAAAGGTATAAATTGGGAATGCCATATAAGCAACCTGAGACACGTCATGGTCCTGAACTTAGTACTCCGATAAGTAAACATTAAAGTGCAAACAACGTAACTTCCTACTGATACAAAACATTGGGCACATCAATAACAAAAGAATTGGGGCGTAAAATTTATTCTATGCCCCATGAGCAACAAAGATCAAGACATACAAACGAATAAATTAATCCAATAGCAGTGTTTTCTACCAATGGGACCCATTAAATCATTTTTATTTTGGTCATGAAAAAATCATCGAAACTGAGGTCCCAAAATCCACAATGTTTCCTTGAAACTACTTAAACATACACATGAACAAGAAAACATTACACACGTCCGCTAGATTTAGAGATAAAATGGGTAAAGCCAAGTAAATTTGTTAGCATTGTCAAAGTACCATTCTTGCTTTTTGTATCAAATACCTAAAAAAGAATTTGCTCTTTCAAGCAATAAAGTACTTCAAAACGCTAACCCAATAAAGACCACTATAAAAGAAAGTGATGTGAACCAAATAGATGAGTCAAATGCATCTCACACTTCTAAAATAGAACTACTAACACAAATTCCAGAGAGAAGTGAAAAATATGTAGACCAAACCAGTTCATACTATTAAACTAAATGCATTATCCCAATAATATCTAATGAAATGAAACCCATATAAGCCAAAAACAAAGAAGTCAAACCCAACTCATAATTTTGAAAAAATAACTCTAAATCACCAAAACAAAGGGAAATAAAACCACTTCACCATCTTACTTACCCAAAAAAAAAACCGATTCACAAGACGAATCAAAAAGAACACAATAACTCAAAGTAGTGCAATTTATTTCATTCACAGCATAAACATATCATCAACTTGAAAAAAAATATAATTAACAACCTTAAACACTGATATCCGAAGAGATGAATCGTTATGAATCGGAATAGCCAGAGACACCTGCATGCAAATTCAAACATTATAATAATTAATCCCCAAATAATTTTCTATATATTTCCACACAAACGAAAAATTAAAAACGAGCTGTGAAGAATCAAATGAAGTAATTGGAAAGTGAAATGACCTGAGAGAGAACCGAAAGAGCCATGACTAGATCAAAATTGGGTCTCAGAAGAACAAAGATAAAGAGAGAAAACTCGGTTAATATATGGGTTTTGTGGGTTTAACACTACGATCATATACAAAATGGTTGAGCTAAGTAGGTGAAGATTGTGAACGAGGTTGTGATCCTTTGGGAGTTGGAAAGGACACCAGTTTTGGCTCCTCAGATGCTCCGACCTATTTGCTCTCTCTCCCTCAGATGTTCTCTCTCTCTGTCGACTAATCGAAAATTTATTATGACATGTATACAGTATACAATATTAGGTACAGTACCCAACATATGTACATGTCATTCTGGGCCAATGTTGTTCAACAATTACGTTAATGCTAAGAATTCGCGAGGTGCACGGGATCTACAGGCTTATGGAAAATATATTCAGACCCTAAAACTTTTTGTTTTAAAAAGGATAAATTACCCTTTAATCCCTCTCAACTATGACCCTTTTTTACTTTATTCCCTTAACTATTGAATTTTTCACATGTCCTCTCAATTATTTTGATTATTTCACATTAGTCCAATCACAAATATATTTTGTCTTTTGGACGAAAATTGCTTGATGTGTTGAGACAAAGTAAAAAACATTATATAGTTTGGAGGAGAAAATAAAATAAAGTTTTATTAAATGTGTGACGGACATTACTATTAAGACAATGTGAAACTAATTATAAAGTTGAGGGTATAATATAAAAATATAATAGTTGAAAGGAATAAAATAAATAAAGTTATAATTGAAGGGGTCAAAATATAATCTTACCAAAAAATATCCCATAAATTTGCGGTCAAATTACAATCGGCTGTCACTTGACTAACAGTGCCTGACATTCTTATTGAAATGCAAGAATTGCCCCCCTTAAATTAAAAATACTGAAAATTACGTAACAAATGTTGAAATAAAAGGGCAACAAGTATTTGAAATGACAAAAAAAAATATTTTATGGGAAATTTAAGAAAATATTGAAACTCACTCCTTGATTCAATGCTTACTTATAATATAATCAAACCACAATCTTCTATGTCTGTCTTTCCTTTTTTGAAATCCACCTGATACCCTTATCTCCACCTTCCTCCACCCGTCTTTTTCTTAGAGGCACTCGAACCACCAAACATTAGACTTGCAATCATCATAGACAAATTTTTATATATTTATGTTTGGGTATGTGTAACACTTGCTTACTCACATATACAATAATTTATGTGCATGCATATATGATATCTTAATAAGCAATGTAATTATTATCCATCAATTGATGATTTTGAAATAAATTGAAACCCATTACTTGAACATAAGAGTTCTTATAGGTCAAATTTCAATGATGGAAAGATAGAGGGAATACAATGACAAAATATGAAAAAGTGCATCCAAATGTTATGTGTTTTTTTTTTCCTTTTGTTTTGCTACAGCATGTCCAGGCTTAGGCTGATTATTTCCTCGAACTCAATGACTGGCCAATATGACTTGAGTTGATCTATAGCATGTCTCCAAAAGAACAATGGTGGGTAACTTTTAGATAGTGTGGGAAGGAATTGAACCTGAGATTTTGAATTACAAAAATGTCATATGTTTGTGTGGTTTGGTGTATAGTGTCTTAATATGCATAAGGCCATTGGTCCTATACTATGAAAACCACACTATTTTTGTATCTCTACATGAAGAAGAAAAGAGAGAGAGAAGGGGGGGGGGGAGAACAGAAAGAGAGGAGAGAGAGAGATGGGAAGATTACTTGAGGGAGAAAGACAAAATAGAAAAGAAAGTGGTGCATGTCTCTGTGTCCAAAACAATAAACATTGGAAGAGATAAAACAGAGGAGGATTAGGGAGAAAGATAGGAAGCATGGCATTGCTTCTCTTGCTCTCATTTCACAAGTAGATTTTTAAATTTTATGGGCTGGATTGATAAAGTCAATCCATTCAAGCTGAAATTTTTTGTTTGGATTTAAATTTAAGTTTTTTGTAGAGCTTATTTCTTATGAATTCAAAAAAATTTTCCAACTATTATTACATATTAAAAATTATGGATTCTTCCTTAAAATGGGGTCTAAAGTTTGTTTTGTACACAAAGATAGACTTATAGTAGCTTTAATTAATAGTAAAATTACAGCTACTAAAAATAAGTTTTCTTAAAAATAATCAATTGCAAACTTATCATTATAATTTTTCAACCATTCTTTCTCCCTTTATTAATTAAAGCTACTAAAAATAAGTTTTCTATCATAATTTTTCAATCATTCTTTCTCCCTCTATGTCCTTCTCTTTTATCATCAACTTCAACTATGATAACAAAAGCTTAAGTATAAAAACTTAAATAATATTTGTGTATTTCAAAAAATTAAAATTAAAATAAATTTATTATTAATATTTAAAAAATAGTTCATTTATTATTTATGTTTTAGACCGCAAAATATCTCGGGCCGCCTGTGGTCTTATTATGCTTGCATGTATTTGAGTTGTTGTTGATATTGGTATTAAATACCTAAACATGAATTTGAATAGAAGTTTACATGTAAGATTTGTTAGCATTTGAGTTATATATATAAGTTGTGCTTATATATGAGTTTGCGCAAAGTGTTTATAAATGAGTTTCATATCTAATTATGATGTTTGTTTTGTATTAGGGCCATTGAATTTGTCAATTCGATGCATTTTTTAACGTTAAATTGATAGGTGTATGTTGTACAAGTGATGAGTTTATAAGTATTTTGGTNTTGAATTTGTCAATTCGATGCATTTTGGAACGTTAAATTGATAGGTGTATGTTGTACAAGTGATGAGTTTATAAGTATTTTGGTTTTAATTAGGATTAGAGTTGAATTGCATTGGATTGGTAAGAGGTCATGAGGAGCCGAAATGTTTCAGTTTCATGTACAGTCTGTTTTGAAAGTTCAAAGGGTTTATTGAAATTTGGTGGGTCAAATTATAATTTTAGTAAATGAGTTAGTGTTTAGAGATAAAAAATTCGCAGATTTTCAACATTGTCCAAACTTACCTCTTTCGTCCTTTTTCTTTTTGAATATGCCACATATTCAATCGCATCCCCAGTGTATATAGTTAAGTAGAAGGGAAAATTTCAGTTTGTCCCATAGAAGATATAAAAATTCTCAATTTATCTCTGAATGATTGATTTTATCCACATTTCCCCCTTAAATTATAAAAAATGTTGTAATATGACCTACCATCTTATTTCTGTTTGGTTGTTCGTCTGTGTTTGTAATTCCTAATTGATTAATTTGGCATAAAACAGACAGACGACCAAACAAAAATAAGACGATGAATCACATTACAACGCTTTTATTTCTTTGAGTGGGCAATGTGAAAAAATTAATTATTCAAAAATAAATGAAAATTTTTATATCTTTTGAGGGAAAAAAATGGGATTTACTCTAACTAGAAATGGTCTCATATTTGATTAAACAAGCGTGATTGTACATGTCAATGGTAGGAGAAGGAAAAGGACAAACAATTGGGGGAGGGGTTCTAGGCCAAAGGGTTGGGGTTGTTATCTCTTTTTGTTACTTGGTTATGAATTTGACAAAAAAAACCCAATAATTTTAACCAAAGGTAGTTATCAAGTTTGACAGTATATTAGTTATTTTACAATTAAATAACCCAAGTGGGGTTGTTATGTCATTTTGTAAGTGTTAGGTGGGTGTTATTATTATTATACCCATAATTATTTATGTCAGAAGCACTATATAATCTATACTACTCTTAAATGTCAACAAGTTGGAAAAACTTTTGTTTACCTTTATTGCCCTTAACAAATCATATATATAAAATATTATCCACCACAAAATCAACATTGTAACTGAAAAGTCAGCTACTTAAAAACCATCATAAAATCATTTAATTCTATAAATTGATTTCTCTTTAGTTTGCTAACCTTTTGTTTTCCCCCATACCTAACTCCAGTATGCATTTATCCCAAAATCCTTCGATAAGTTGATACCAATTTTTATTTTATTTTATTTGATATATTGCAGAAAAATTATTCTGACAACAATTGTGTATATTAATGCAGGAAACGAGTTTGTTGGTTGGGTTTGAGTTGCAGGTTCAAAGAATGTCAATTGGCGTATGAAAGGTCTCTCTTGGAGGGGGGATGAGACATGATCGAATTGTGCGTGGATAGTTGTATTTCTATCTTCCCAAAACACCAAACCTGTTAAAAGGTAACATGATCGCAATCCAATCCAATCATACAAACCCAGTAGAAATAATCTGCCAAGTATGAATCGCACACTCTCTCCCCTCTACAAATATAATTTTTCTCAGGTACTTAGACTTTTTGCGTTTTTGTTTGCTTTCCTCGAAAATTGTTTGTAGAATTAAATTATTTTTAATAGTTTGACTTGTACGCTAAACTGTTTGCAGAATCCCCATCATGGACAGTTTTCTTTAGTTGAAACATGAAGGAGAAATGCTGTCAAAGTTAAAGGAGAAATGCTGAGAAAGGTAGAAATTCTACCCTTGGTAGTCACTATGTGATCAAGAATGTTAGGCTGCTGATGGATTCTCTTGTATGAATTAAAGGGTTGATTAGTAGAATTATGAGATTTTCTCTACAACTAATCTTTTAGATATTGTTAATGGCATACACATTCATGCTTGTTAGAATTTGGTTGAAATCTTCAACAAGTGACTGAGCTAAAGATTTTATCAATTAAATAGGGTAGGTAATGCTTTATTGTGGATGCTTCCTTAGCTTTCTTTTTTCTGATGACTTACCCCCCACTTGCAGAGCATGCACAACCACAACTGCAAGCTTAGTGACTTCTCTATACTTGGAAGACAACTACGGGAAGAAAACTGTTTTGTCGGCTTATCCTTCTATTTGAGGAACTACTGTAAAGACCCTCTCCAAGCAGAGAACCTGATTGTGTGTTTTTTGCCTAACATAGTATACCTTCGGTTCCTCGTTTATTGAGATTGGTAATCCCCATGTTAGCCGTGGATTATGATAGAAATTTATTTTGTAAGCATGATCCATA